ACAAAACGTCTGTTTTGTTTCCTTGAAACTTGGGTGTAGCCTAGTTTCTTGTTGACTAAAACTCTCACCAACCCATGTTTTCCAGTTCCTCAGCTCTCCTCCTGTTCCCTGGAGCTGGTTATCTTTTCATTAGGGTTCAGGGTGGCCTGTGACCATTTGCCCTGTGCAACAAGGAGGCCAGCAAGGACAGGCGGTGGGAACGTGGGGGGGGAGGCAGCATCAGCAAGAGTATTGGCTACCCACTCCTTGTTCAACCTGCAGCTTTTGGGCAACCAGGTTGTTTTGTAAATTTGAATCTAATGGGTTGGGAAGTGTAAAACGTAGTGGTGTAAAATGCCTGTAGTTATTTACCCTTGTACTAATCCTTAAATAGATTTGCAAGTACAAGTTGGGAGTATCAAATTTGGGAGAGTGCCAGATTGGGAATGTCTGAAGTAATTGTCTTGAAAGAAAAATACAACCCAAAATAATAGAGGTAGTGAAAAGAAGAGTTAGGGTGGATTGATCTTCTAGACAGTGTCTCTTGCTGCCACATTTCTGAGATGTAAAAACAAAATCCGACCAAGAGAAATCACTTCAGAATTTTTTTCATCTTTAATATAAGATATAAGTTGTACAGTTCAATTGAAAATCAAATTAATGAAGGAGAATATTTGTAGCTCAGAGTTGAAATGAGCGGTGCTTGGTGCTCACTGACTTGCTTGTTTTCTTGCAGACGTTTCATTATCCTAACTAGGTAACATCATCAGTGCTAGTAGGGAGTGCTGTTTGCTGTCAGTTTATATTCTGGAGTCTTGCCTGTCTTAGGGATTCTTTGATTGGGCTGTTTATTAATGGCTCTTTGGCAGTTTCTTGATTGGGCTATTGCTTACTTGATTGTTGGTCTGAAGTTGACCTTGGAGCTAATCTATGCTGATCTGAGTGCTGATTACTGGTGGAGAAATGCTGGAGTCCTTTCCCCTTTTGGGCTGGTTGATTGTCTTTTGTATAGTCTATAGATGTTGTTAATGTCTATGTGTCTATTGATGGCTGATTTGTCAGAGTTCCAGGCTTCTAGGTATTCCCTGGCATTTTGGATTTGGCCTGTTCTAGGATTGTCACATTTTCCCCAATTGAAACTATGGTTAAATCTGTCTATATGTTGTGAAATTAAAAAAAAATTCATCATGCCTTTTGACTGCCAGTTGGTGTTCATGAGTGTGTTCTGCCAGTCTTCTGCCTGTTTGTTGTGGTTGTTGCAGTTTTTACATTGTATGTTGTACATAGATGACTCCTGTTTTTTTTCTTCTGGAGTTGCTGGGTCTTTTGGTTTGCTTAGGATGTTTTGAAGGGCTTTAGTTGGCTTGTGTGCTATGCTGATTCCATGTGGTTGTAGCAGTCTATTTGTGGTTTCTGAGATACAGTATTCTTGATGTATGGCAGTGCAATTCTTTTTAGGGTTTGTGTTGGTTGTGCTGTATTGGGTTGAGTGGTCAAGGACTTTTTGCTGAAGTTGCGTGGATATCCATTTTGTTGGAATGTGTTGTATAGATGCTCCATTTCCTTTTTCTGCTGTTCTGAGTTGCTGCAGTGTGTTTGGGCTTGCTTAAATAAAGTCCTTACACAGCTTCTCTTGAGGGAGGTGGAATTGTTGCTTTGGTAGTGGAGCACCTGGTTAGTATAGGTGGTTTTTCTGTAGACTTGCGTTTCTAGTTTGTCATTGTGGTCCCTGCTGATCAGGATGTCCAAAAAGGATAGTGAGTTGTTTTCTTCTTCTCTGGATTCCTTTACAATGTTATTGATGGTTCTGTGGGTGTTCTCTAATTGTTCCTTTTTTATTATGGTGAAGGTGTCATCTACATATCTGACCCATATTTTCAGTTGTATTTGTGGAAGTGCTATGGCTTCTAGACATTGCATGACGACCTCCACTATAAGTCCTGAAAGCGATGATCCCATAGGTATCCCTTTAATTTGTTGGTAAATTTGGCCATCAAATTGGAAGTATGTAGTTAAGCAGAGGTTTATGAGATCCATAATCCTGGATGTTTTGATCTTCCTGTATTCAATTAAGTCAGGTATGCTGTGAAGCAACACAATCATGGATTCTTTGGCTAATTCTGGATCTATAGATGTGAACAAGGCTGTGACATCAAATGAAACCATGATTTCGTCCTCATCTATAGACACATCCCTCATTGTTTGAAGACACTGTAGTGGAAAGTTATGGAGTGTTGGCTGTCTCTTGTGAGAGGAGACAGGCAAGATAAAAGAATATAAACAGACCACAGAACAGCACTCCTTACCAGCACTGATGATGTTACCTAATTAGGGTAATGAAATGTTTGCAAGAAAACAAACAAGCTTGGAAAACAAGCTGAAATCTTTTAGAGGAAAAAATAACAATAAAAACGAACAATAACATGGTTGCATAAGTCTTATGATGAAATTATCTTCATCAGATGATTGGTGCTGATCGATCATTAGTCATAGTCGGACGCAGCTTGACGGTGGCAAATGGGTTGGTACCTCTAAAAGGATAAAAAGGAAATAAATTCAATCACTGGGGCCATCTTAAAACAGAAGATAATGTCACATCTTCAGGTTGTCAAGTTTGAAAAATGCTGCAGTAAAGTGTAAGAAATGTATCAGTGACCCAGTCCTCCTGGAGACCGCTGTGGCTTTTATAAACCAGCTGGCTGTGAAATGCTTGTAAGTGCTCAAGGTTTCCCTGATGCATATTTAGAATAAAATAACAGAGTTGAAAGAGACCTTGGAGATCTTCTAGTGACTAGTCCAACCCCCTGCTCAAGCAGGACCTTATACTATTTCAGACAAATGTTGTTGTCTTAAAAACCTCCAGTGATGGAGCACCCACAACTTCTGAAGGCAAGCCACTCCACTGATTAATTGTTCTCACTGATAGGAAATTTCTCCTTATTTCTAGATTGGTTCTCTATTATGCTTCCATCTGTTACTTCTTGTCCTGCCTTCAGGTGCTTTGGAGAATAGATTGACCTCTTTTTTGTGGCAACCTCTCAAATATTGGAACATTGCTATTGTGTCAACCATGTCTCTTTTCAACACCCCAAATTTCTCAGGCTAAAGAATGATCTAACAACAACCGATGTTCTTACCAAGCAAGTCTCAAGCCATACAATTGTTTAGAAAACAGGTGAAAGTGGTTCTGGTTATTTTTTACAAAAGAAAACCCACAACATAAAAGTATAACGTATACATATGCAAAACAATGGTACATTTGATCTCGCCTATTCTTTCAATGGAGTGCAAAACATGACATATAAATCGTTTACAATGCAATCCTATAGCCGTGGTACAGTACCCTTCATCCAGCAGCTTCCAAGAGAGTGAACAAATATAATAAATAGTTATGCCAAGAAGTATTAAAATCACCAGCAAAACCATAGCCTTAATAGGACAGAAGATAAAAAATATACAGCAGGCTAAGTCTGAGCAGGCTAATTTTAAAAAACTCACTTAAAAAAAAGGCTTAATACAATCCAAAAAGACTGAAAGTGGGGCCAGGACACTTATGTTTAAGGAGGGTGATCCCTAAATGAAGTATGAGGCTAATTGTTCTGTTGCAGGCCACTTTCATTTTAGAAGGAACTTGGAGACGATCTTCAGTAGATCAGGATGAACGGGAGGATGCAGGGAGAGGGGATCCATGAAGGGTTTTGATGTTGTAGAAAGATAATTGTGACATGCCAATAATATTATAAGGCTGGCAGCAAGATATAGGTGCTTCCAGCTACCAAAGACTAGACAGCCACGAGGTGGCAGCAGAGAATTACACAAAAATGTTGGCTTCATTCTAATGGCCATCCAGATTTTAGCACTCCAGAGCAGGCGACCTTTACTTAAAAGACAGTATGTTTGTGAGATTTTTCATTTATTCTTAATAAAATGTTGTTGTTAGATGAAGGGAGAAAGACATGTGGAAATTTTAATTTTTAATTTTATTTTTTGCCTCTTGGCTGCCTTGGATCATAGCCCCATCTTTTGCTTCACTTTCAAATAGCAAAATGACTTGCACCAGTCAAGCTCTGAAATAGTTCTTAAAAACTAAGATAAAATTAATTTGCAAAATGAAGCTATGGTTTTTCATTAAATAGACATTGGTGCAATTTGGCTGACCTGAACAAGTCTGCTGCATGTGTATTCAATCTCTCCATTCCTCCCTTTTTGAAAGAAGCCAAGATATTAAACCGACTCTATCTAAATAAATAATAATTTAGAATGATCTAAATCCTGGTTTACTTCAAGGTAATTGCATTTGCAATAGTATGAAGGCAGAATTTTTAACCATCATCAGATATAAAAAGTGTATTTAGGAAGATGGCTTTTATTTCTTGAGTCTTAATAAATGACTCAAGAAAAAAATGGACAGCATTGATTCACGCTCAAATTTAGAGAAAATGTACCTGGGGAAGAGCTCTGGAGGATGATCCCATCTTGCTGGATTCTGCAATAAATCAAAAGTATGGTGAAGCTGGGAGGAAATCCCCTTATAAATATTCAGAAGACAAAAAAGCAATAACACAGCAAATGCATACACACATATGACTCCAGAACTGCTTTTCTAGGAGGCCAGTCTATTTTTGGCTCAAAGGATCCGCAATATGACTCTGTTCCTGGACTCATTTAATCACACACTTTGCTCAAGCCATCTTCATTTCCAGCTGTCTGGCAAATGAACAGCCCACATCTCCAATCCACCTAAGCCCCAGCTTTAGGACCATGGGACCTTTCTTGAGTAGAAAGGTGACCTTCCTCATCTTTGGAAAGATGTAGAGCAGACATGTCAAACACAAGGCCCGGGGGCCGGATGCGGCCCGTGAAGTGGTTTCATGTGGCCCGCGAAGCCATCCTGGAAACAGTGAGGGAACGGCCCCTGCTGCCTTGGCCCTGGCCCAGGCCGACCGGGAGCCAATGTACAATTTTGTGGTGGCCATCTATGCTGAAACGCATTCAGCCTTAGCTCCACAAGGCCGTCTGGAAACAGCGAGGAACCAGCCCCTGCCGTGTCGGCCCCGCCCCCTGGGTGCATCCTTGGGAGGTGTCACCCTTTGTGAGGAATGAAGAAATGGACCATGCCTTGGCGCTTGCTCCGGTCCCACCCCCTTCTGCCAGAGACCCTCAGATCTGTCCCACTCCTGCCCAGGCCCCCATAGGCACTCTTGAATCGAACGATGTAAAGCTGGCCAGGCCCACCCAATAGGCCACACCCACTCCAGCCACGCCCACCCAGTAGGCCGTACCCACCCTGGCCACACCCACCCGGCCTCCTGAGGGCAACCGCAATGCTGATGCGGCCCTCAATGAAATTGAGTTTGACACCCCTGATGTAGAGCACTTTTTAAAGGAAGGAGGAAACTGGTCTTTAATTTTCTAAGGCCACTTCCACACCATCATACGGAAGAAGGAAATAAAAATAATTACTTGGACACACCTGCCCGATCCATTTTCTTGTTTTGTGTACATCTGGCAATTCACGTGGAAAAACAAACAAAAACCCAAGCTGTTCTTTACAAGGGGAATACGAAGGCACAAAGGACCCTTTCTCCTTGAAAGACATGTAGACAGGAGAATGGGACACAGTAAAGCAGGAATTTCTGGATGGTGTGCAAACTTCATATGGGCTTGGTATTTTTTAAATGACAGATTAAATTAAGGATGGTTTCACATACAACACAGGTGAGCCAGAAATATTGGCTTGTCATGTGGAGAGATTTGGTTATGTGAGCAACTTCCTTCTTGTTTTTCGCTTTGTTGAGATGCATATACACACTTCAGAAAAACTCACTACACCCAAGGATATGTTCACATGAACAGCACTGGATACTTTGGTAATGGCTTTTCCAATGTGTGCACTGAAGATTTTGGGCTTCTTTCAATTTTATACAATATACATAGTGTGTGTAGTGTAATACTTTTTTGTGCTTAAGTATGTTATGGACCTGTAAAACCTATTGTTATTTAAATACATTGCAAGCTGCCCATTCCAGAAGAATGGGTGGTTTTAATCAGATTGCTCCTTCTTGGGCAACTGCTTTTCAAGGTCTTACAGCTGCGGTGTTTTCCAGCTTTGCTGCTGGCATGTCTTTTAATAGATATTCCTTGACTAAAAAGCTGGATAAAGAAATATAAATCCTCTTTTCAGAACTTGCAAAGTTTTAAAATTTATTCGCTGTGAGGTCTGAACAGGAAAGGGGACCTTTTCATTTTTAAGAGAGAAGCGCTTGTCTATGGAGCGTTCACATATGCTAAGATGGAAACAGAAAAGTCTGACGTGTTCCTTCCCATCATACACGTTAGCTGAAGTTATCTGAAGAAATCACAGAATTCCTTCAATGATCAGATGAGCATATTCATGGGGTCAAACGGCGCACGAGTCTAAATGCATCACTTTCAGATCCATGGATCAGTGTTGAATTCTAAACAGCAGGTGCGAAGGATGACACAGCCCATGATGGGTGAGGCGTGACCTTCCTTGTGATCCCAAGAAAAATTACCCACAGAAGCACTTGCAAGTCCTGGAGAAAAGCGCTCAATGTGGGCAATGTAAACTCCTCTTTTAAAGAAAAAAGTGAGTACCCAAACTTTGAGGAACCCAGGATGTATTTTATGATCACATCCTAGGTGGAGTGGAGTTGCCCATTTACATAGTAGCCATCAGCGGGATCAGTCATAAACTGATTTTTAGAAGGAAAAGCTTTGAGGATGTTTCCTATCAATATCCCAGTGTTTCTCAACCTTGGCAACTTGAACATGTATGGACTCCAATTCCCAGAATTCTCCAGCCGGCATGCTAGGAGTTGAAGTCCCTACATCTTCAAGCTGCCAAAGTTGAGAAATATTACTCTAGACCATCAACAAACGTTCTACTCTCTGTGGCTTCCAGCAACAATGGAGTGTAAAATAGATAGTTCAAAGGTTGCTTTCCTCGTGTCAGAGTTAAAGAACATTGAAGCACATTTTTTAAACCATTCGTGTGAACACAGCCTAATTCTCAATCCACAGCAAACAGTAAACAACAACACTGTTTTTCATTTCTGGAGGCAGGGACCACCATAAAACTAGCATTGTTTTATAAATCAAACCCCTTTGGAAGAGGTACCCCAAAGTGCCCAACCCAAAAAGAAAGCCAAGGAAGAGACATCTTCCCAGCTGGCCCATTCCCATCACCACCATCCCAGTCCATGTTCACCACTCAAGGGTCCTACTGTTAGCAGAAAGAGCTGCTGCCCCGGAGCCACCAGAAATCAGGCTGGGATGTCATGGAGAAGAGGAGAGAACTGAAGGGACCCTAAGAAGGGAAAGAGAAGTGACTGAGACTCTCCTGGTGGGGCAGAAGAGCAGAGGACCAAAATTGATATGGATGAATTGCAAGGAAGGATAGGTTATTATGCTTCTACACAAAAAAGGAAGGAGAACAACAGCTCCAAAGAAGACTGAAAACTTCCTCATAGTAGGGACTGTAAATTAATATATCAAGAGGAATTGGAGAAGTTGTGGGAGGCTACGGTGAGACTATGACAGACAGAGTTCACTGGGCGTGAAAAGGGAAATTCCTTAACCATTTGGGGTCAAACTAGGTGTGAACGCAACTAACATGCAAGATTTGTCCCTTCGTGGAAATAGCAGCTTTAAGGAAGCAATTTTCATTTTAGACCACAGCAAGGAGTAACTAATAAACTCTGCCTTCCCACCTCTTGCATGCCTGCTACTTCTTGTGGGACCGTTGTGTGGGGGTGTTCTCCCTGCAAGTATTAATTGTGTTTTCAATAAATGCCCATGTTTATTGTCTTCAGTGCAATGGGTATTTTATGCATTGGGTCCAATAAAGAGCTCATATTAAAATATTATTTTAAGGCAGTCGCTCTCTTTTCCTCAATTGGTGGGGTTCATAATCTAATTGGCTATCTTATATCCCTCCCAAGCCTGATCTTCAGTTTAATTGCAGGCATGCCAGTGAGTATATGTTGTAACACCACTTTACAACCTTTGGGATATGATCAGGCATCACTTGCTGTGCCCTCAAACTCTGGAAGTACCTTATCCTGAACTGGATACTTACGTTACTGCCCCACTTTCACTCCAGGGCAGACAGGCATGCCACATACAGTAGATGAGTAATTATTTTTGTACACCAAACTCTACTAAATGTGTAACTACATCCTTTGATACATGGCCTAATTTCTACTCGTGCATCTCTAATCTCTAGTAAGTAACATCTAACATCTCTAATAAGCTAATATGGGCTGATCAGAAATGATTAGGTCTACCTTACCCACCCACTTCTTCCTGTAGGAGAGCACAAGGAAGGGCCAGTAAAAACATTTCCCATCATAAGCTATTTGTCCCCAGCAAGACCTTGTCTTGCTCAAAGGTTTGCCCTACTCAGACTCATAATCATCATCAAGCTAGCTGCAGAGCTGTTTGCTGCTGGAGGGAGAAGTAAACAATAGGAGGCTATTTTTTACAATACAGTGGTTGCCAAAAACACCTACTCCAACTTAGGACAATTCAAAAATGTTGCCCAGGTTGTGTTTGTTTTCCATAATGTTGTGCTCCAATTTAAAAAAAATGTGGGTGACCATATGATTGTCCTTATTTACAATGCAGCTGCCACTGGATTGGTTCTAGCACATTTTAAATAATCATAGGAAATCATATGATCTGACCACAAGCCAACTCTTCCACTGTACCAAACAGTGTAAGAAAGATCTCTATGGAATAAGCTTCTCCAACCTGGTGTTGGGGGCCAAACTACCAGAGTTTCCAACCAGGATGCATTTTAACCCTTTTGGAAGGCCAGGTTGAGGATGTCTGCTGCAAACCATCATCCATCCAAATTTACTGATCCATGAATAAATCTGGAGTCCTGAAAAGATCCTCAAATACTACTCATTAATGTACAACTTTACCTTGGAGCCCACATTGGGAGTTGCAGCATTAGATATGCTGTTTGGAAGAGTGCCGGCTCTCACCGAAGACTTAGAAGATACTGGAGACTGAGGCCTACTGGATTTCTGCCAATAATCATCTGGCACTGAAGCAGTAGACTGACCTAGAAGATTGTCCACACTACGGCTGCTCCTCAGGGAGAAACCTCTAAGCAAGAAAGGAGAAAAAAGTTGACAAGGAAATGAGTAAACATACCATTTTATTTGGACTTAGCCTCCAAACATCCTGCCACTTAACTGGAATATACCTATTTCTCTTCCCCCATTCCCTTATTGTATCATCACAAAGTTAATATGCAGTAATTTGTACAAGTTAATATGCAGTAATCTGCAATTGGAAATAGTTTTAGGACTGAGGGAAGATTTGAACCTGAACACTCCCAGTATTAGGTTATGGTTCTATAATACTCCATGTTGGTCAAACCTTTCCCAGTTTACCCCCTTTCCCACACTACACTTTAGCCAAGATTTGAAGCTTACTGTCTTGTCTCATTCTGGAGTGAATGTCAGTTTGAATTTTCACAAGCTGGCATCTGAAATGGGCTTGGTTACAAATTCCATTTTGTGTCAACTCAACGGAGTGGAAACTTCAGATTGAAGTGGTATAGCAATACATGAGAAGAGGTAAGACAGCTACTCATTCAAGCTCATTAGCCAAGTTTTCTTAATCTAACATGTCTCCTAAACTTCACCACATAACACAATTCAGGTTGGGAGTACCGTACCTGGGGGCTGATGCCTCCAAAGACTTTACAAAAGCTTCAGGAAACCAGCCACTCCTGAAATCAAAGGCACAAGGCAGGAGTCACTTTTGATGTGGAACCAGGAGAAAATTTAGACATAAATTTACATTAAAATTGAATTACAAGAATAAAATTTATATTCTTTTTTATGTCTTATACAATGCTGAAATAGCAAATCTATATGATAGTATAGTATATTTATATGATTTTTAAAGCAAAATTTTGATTTAGGCTTTTAGGGCAAGAGGGACAATTTTGAGCAAAGCTTTTGAAAATTTTTAATGCTATAAAGTTCCAGAATTTTCAAAAATATAATTTGACTCACCATTGTTTTACATACAAAAACACTAATTGTTTTAATAAAGCAGAATAACAGAGTTGGAAGGGACCTTGGAGGTCTTCTAGTCCAACCCCCTGCTCAAGCAGGAAATCCTATACCATTTCAGACAAATGGTTGTCCAGTCTCTTCTTAAAAACTTCCAGTGTTGGAGCATTCAGAACTTCTGGAGGCAGGTTGCTCCACTGATTAATTGTTCTATTAAGAAATTTCTCCTTAGTTCTAGGTTGGTTCTCTCCTTGATTAATTTCCATCCATTGCCTCTTGTCCTACCTAAAGGTGCTCTGAAGACTAGGTTCAACCTCCCTCTTCTTTGTGGCAGCCCCTTAGATATTGAAACACTGCTATCATATCACCCCTAATCCTTCTTTTCATTAAGCAACAAATAAAATTAAATAAAACATAATTATATTTAATAATTTCAGCCTTCTGTCCCATTACCAATTACTGCATAGTGGCTACCTTGTGAGGAGATCTGGAAGCTGCATCAAAGTTTACCATCTGCCACCCAACCCCACCTGACAAAAATAAATCTGTTCAGACTTACATTGATGTGCCTTCCAACTTGCCATACAGCCAGCCATTCTGAGCTTCTGGTAGGAGGACAGTAACCACATCTCCAGGGCCAAATGGCAAAAGAGTCTGGTTTGAACCCGTGACATGAGGCATAATTGCTAGCACTTTGAGCAGATGGTTCCCCTCTTTACTATCAGCCTCTGCCCTCGTTGCTGCTTGTTCTCCGAAGGAGTTAGAGCGAGAAAAGCCAGGAGAAGCAGAGCCTGTGACATATGAGAGACCAAAACTCTTCATTAACTTACTCTGCTGCTGCAAAGTCCTGCTACTGCTCCAAAAGAGATCCAAATTCCATAATGATTGGTTCATAAGATGCCACCTGAGGCAAAACTGTTTACTGTCTGTCTTCCTTACTTTCTGCCCCAGAAGTTAAATGAGTTCCATCTCTGTTAATGTCCAGGACATTCTCAAGACTTGGTTATGCCAACAGACTTGGGAATCCTAGAGAACCAGAGACATTAAAGGTGGCTCCCCTAATGTGAGTGATATGTGGTTGCTATACTTATTCTCTTTGTGGTTTTTATACTCTATCTTCTTTTAAAAAATGATAATGCTTGTTCATAATTTTATGATGATTGTTTTTATGATTGATATTATATTGTTGCTTTATTTGATTATTGTGTGCAGCCCAGAGTCCTCTGATGAGACAGGCAGCTACTGTATGTAAATTTGATAAGTAAATAAGTACAATTCATTTGTCACAATTGCTTTAATTATATTCATTTTTTATGTAAACCCAAATTGCTTTGTTTGATTCTCACAATAATGCTGTAAGGTAATTTACATCCTGACAGACTGACTAGAATAAATACAAATGTCCATTATTTCACTCACAACAGGCATCTGTAGCAAACGTGTCTTAACAGAGATTCTTAATCCCTTAATCCCTACATTATCCCTTTACAGTTTTACCAAGTGAGGGAGTTCTTGGCATTGTTTTCCTTTTTGTTTCTGGCTGAAAGGATGGCACCATCTGTACAGTCTCCTGGAAGAAGCTCTGTCCTGCCATGAGTGGACCAAAATCGCTTGGCAACCTCTGGAGTTATAGCAAAAGAAGGACAGCGAGAGTGAATCCTTCCAGAAAAGCATTCAAGAAAGCAAGTTCCAATTGCAGTGACTGAGATCCTCTTACACACAAAATTGCCATATCTTCTGTTGGTCTGGACTAGGAGGTTTAGGCCCACCATTTCCTTTATGTTCTTCAATTATTTTAAAGATATTTAAATTATAATTTAAAATTAAATGATTGTTAACTAATATAATTAATATATAATTTAAACTGAATTATGCATATACTTCTCCATTAGTGCCGGAAAAATAAATTCCCTATTCCACGCGTGCCAGAGGCGGCACTCGGAGCCCTCTCTGTGGGCACACGTGCTGTTGCCCCAGCTTCGCCTCCCCCCATGACCCCCACACGGAGCAGCACAGCCAAGGACATGGCAGCCAGGCAGCGTAGACAAGACTCTGCCCTCATGCCCCATCCCACACAGTTGATGCTGCGGGGCGTGGGCAGAGGGCGTGGCCATGGCGCTGCTGGGCTGCATGGGCGATCTGCAGTGGGCCCTGGAGACAGTGAGTGGCCTTGCGGGCAGGTGGGATGGGGGACGGGGTGGGGGCGGGGCGGGGGCAGGGCAGGGGGTGGAGCGGGGGCGGGGCCAGTTTTTGGGCACTCGGTCTCTAAAAGGTTCGCCATCACTGCCCTATTCTTTTTTAACAATTCTACAAATACCAAGATAGAAAATTAGGATGCACAGTCATATATAGTAAGCAAGGTTTAGAAAATGGATCAATGAGAAAACAGGATGTGAAGATTATTATTTCTTTCGGTACAGGAAACTCCTAACTCTACTAGGATATGGCTAAATCTAGTTCAATATCACCAAATAACGAACTACAAAGTGATTTTGCTCACCCTTTTATTGCTACAGTTGCTACTTGGTTGTCTAAATATCATCTAAGTAAAATGAGCTTATAAAATATAAACTTATGATTTAATAATTAACACGGTTACATGTGCAAAAAGGTACTATAATTCATTTGTATGTCTAAAAGCTACATTTATAAATATAATTATTTGGGAAAGAACCAAGAAGCTCAGGAGCATCAACAGCATTTGTATGTGTGCATTATATCTCTCTCCCCCTACTATATCCCAGTAAAAGAAATATAAATGAACATTAAAAATATGTATATGATCACAGAGCAATACGCATATAACTCTTGCCTAATTAACTCTTTTATATTTCTGTCTCATTGTCCATGGAATTCCTATGCAACAATTTGTGTGGGTAAAAAAAAATACTGAAAAGCAAGAAAAGCCTCATTTCTCAACACTATCCCTCATTTGCTTTGTACCTAATATCCTGCAAAAATAATTTAGGGTTAGAGTTCAATTTTTCAGATGCTGCGGAGTTACCATGCATTCCTACAGTATTATTCTTAACCGCTTTTGGTTGAGGCTGAGAAAAGCAGTGACCTAACAGAAGAACCTACATACAACTAGATGTAGATACTTCAAGGGAGCATAAAGCAAGTTTTAAAGCTGGCTGCCTCCTTGCTGGATTAAGAGACTTATCCAAAGCCCCCCTTTGGGAACCTCAGCTCCCTTGACACCTGACCTCCTGCTCCCCTTGAATCAACTGTCAAGCAACTTATATTTTTAGGAGGAAAGGAGCACACTAATATCCACACTAACCATAATTTCATATCATGTTTTCTCCAAACCATCTATTTTCTGTATGTGAAACATTCTAAGCATTTTTATTAGTCCAATAATCATTTGGTTTTATAGGTTCTTCCTCTTTTTAAGATATGCTAATAAAATTGCACAGACTGTAATATCCTGAAGATTTTGAGGGCTATAGATCACTTTTTAAGTCTCCGACCAATGCATGTCTGCAGACACAAAATTGCTACAAGATTCATTAAATCTTCAAAGATTCTGATTCCTCAGCACTTCCATCACACGTGCACATTTTCAGTATCCAAAGGTCCCTGATTTCTGAGTGGGCTCGCTGTCTCCTCCACTTCATAATTCATGTTTCTCTCAGTCCCAGCCAAGCCCAGAATAAGCCTTGAAATACAGGTCGTTCTCGACTTACAACAGTTCATTTAGTGACCATTCAAAGTTACAACAGCCCTGAAAAAAGTGACCGTTTTTCACACAACCATTGCAGCATCCCCGTGGTCACGTGATCAAAATTCAGCCACTTGGCAACTGACTCATATTTATGACGGTTGCAGTATACTTGGGGTCATGTGATCATCTTTTGTGTCTTTCTGACTAGCAAAGTCAATGGGGAATCCAGATTCACTTACCGACTGTGTTACTGCAGTGGTTCACCTAACAACTCTGGCAGGAAAGATCATAAAATGGGGCAAAATTCACTTAACAACTGTCTCGCTTAGCAACAGAAATGTTGGGCACAATTGTGGTCATACGTTGAGGACTTCCTGTAGTGTTGTAGTAATATGAAAGCCGCCATGTAACTTTGGCAGGCACTGATGAACTTTTGCATCAGGAGATGAAGCAGATATAATTTCCCAAAGCAATCTGCCCAACTGCACTCACAAAGTACATAAACACAGATACAAGAGGATAAATTCATAGATTGCAAGACAGATGAATGCTTGAAGCTCTTTTTGCCTTTCCTTAAGCTTTGGATTGTCTTTTTGTTATTTATCATTTCACAGAAAGTGGGGAGAACTGTGACAAGCATCGCATTTGAAATAGAAAGAATGGGGACTGTTTGACTGATTCTCCAATAATTGCTCTGTCTTCTAGTGGCTAAATTGAGCTGGTGTATGAATTGGATGAAGGTGCTGTCTATGAACTGCAGACATTCTGCACATGGATAAAAACAGGTCCAGGTGCCTCTGAACTGCAGTAGGTGAAGGGAATTGGAGTGAAAGTAGCTGCACAAAAATTCGAGTATTGGGGATTGTTCATATTGATGTGATGTTGGAGACTATGGTCTCCACTCCTTGCTAATTCTATCCTAAAAGTCATTCATTTGAAGCACCCTCCCTTCCCAGAGAGCTCCGTTACTCCATTTTCTCTTACATTTTCAAGATGAGTAGGAGTGAGACGGCCAGAGGGGGGTGTCTGCACAGGATTGTGAGAGGCCTCCAATTCCTCTTTCCACAGTGGTGCCTTGTTCAGGATGAGGGTCCGAGCCTTCAGAAGGAAATTAATTAAAACATTAGTTCATTCATCTGAAGACAGGTAAGAGAAAGGAGTCATCAGTTGCAGAGTTTTAATAGGGCTAATAAAAAGAGATTTCAACCGGAATATTACTGTAAAAAGCTGTAGGAGATTTAAAATATTCCAAAATATGCTGTACCAAAAGAACACATTTGAAATGCATTCTTGTTGCGTTAAAGTGAGCAGAAGTTCTCCAGGAAGGAGTAGGGTGAGGTTAAAAGGTTGAGGTTAATCACATGGTTATTATGGCCCTCTTGACTTTTTGATCTGCCTGCAGACCCCCTTCAAAGTGCTCCAGTCTTGAGTGCCCAGGAGCAGAATGGCAGATATAAATACTCTCAAATGTAAAAATAAATAATGTCAGACAATCAATAATGTTAACCTTGTGATTTGTAGGTATCTTTATTTTTATTTTGCACACTGTTTTTTTCTTCTTTTCCTTTCAATTCATTTACCAGGATTCAAAACTTTTGAAGTTACCCAGGTTGAAACTCAACAATTTTAGTGACGGACAAGCATTTGCCATCACAAAAAGGGGCCGGCACCTTGTTTTGGAATTAAAAAGTCTGCACTATTTGGCCACTGGGTTCTCCTTCACTTTTTACATTCTAAGTTATTTCACTGTTCCTTGACCCATTTCAAAGAGAACTAGAAGGTCAGCATCATTTAAATATATGGGCTTGGGGTTCTGTCCTGTTAAGATGTCATCATATTTTCATTCATGCTACAAACATTCCATGCTTGTATTTAACTTAAACAGCATATATTAAGGTCCTTGCTCCTTCTCTCTTCCCACCAGAAAATACCATATCCAGGACCTTTTAAAATCAAAATAAAAGTATCTCACATAAAAACCAAGCTATGACAATGCACACATTTGTCTCCATCTCTTCCCCATGTTACATTTGCCTCCCCTACTCCTCACTTTGGTGTAGAACTGGAGAAGATTATTGGACAGTAACTGGTGCTTCTCAGCCAGGAAGCGATAGCGGCGTTTCTCCTCCAGCTCAGCAGCCTGTTGGCTTTCACTGATGAAAACCTGCAGCTCATTACGCAAATGAATCATGTTCTCCTGGAGTTAAGGAAAGAGAGAAAGGGTGGGGAGAAAAGAAATCCCTGTCAACCAGGTTCTCCAATAGGGAATATCATTTCAAGATCTCAGGTGTTGTTGAGTTTTTATAGTTGACTGGGCCTTTACAGCAGTCACTGAATCATTGCAATACAAGGTCCATTCCCTTCTGAGATACTTTTTCCACCCAATACCTCCTTTTAGACTCAGATTTCATTTATCAGATCACTATCTAGGCCACAGTTCTTCCTCCTGTCTCCCAAGGTTATTCTCACAGTCCATTATATTGCCTGATGTTTGCTTCATAGGGAATAGACTTAGGAGTAGGGCATAGTGACATCCCTGGTGAGGGTGTCCAAAGTCAAGATGGTGACTATGAATAACATACCTACAAAAGTGATAATATACTTGTAGTTGCCATCTTGATTTTTTTTGAAGCTCTCCTGTGAATCCTCTGGTAGGAATTATGTATGACCCATCTTTGTGGGAAATTGGAGACAGATTTAGACATGTATTTACACTGGCATCCTACTGTTTCTCAAAATAACTCAAGGCAACTAACAAGATCCTTTCTATTTTTTTATTTTGAAAAACAAAGAGGAAAAGAATCCTCAGGAAACAAATTTAGCTTCAAAAAAAATCACTAAAGTTTCCTATAAGGATACATCCATCCAGGGCACTTTATGGATGTGGAGATTTAAACCAAAGTCTCTCCATTGTAATCCAATATTCTGGGATTATTCCACTGTTTTTTTAAGCATTTAGTTTGCCACAGCTGGATCCTCTAGTCTTCTTCCACTTTACACTTTACACCAGACCAGACAGCCTGATTCCTACCTTCAGCTCCCAGACATTTTTATCTCGACGACCCTCCATCCTCCGCAGGTCCATCATGGATGTATCTATACTGGCTACTCTACGTCGGTATTCCTTCTCATATCGTTGGCGACTATCCTATAAGTGAACATGTTTAAAATAAATAAAATCTTTACTGTGGACTCAGGAAAAAAATTAACAGTATAAATATGGTGGTAGCTACAAAGGCTATAGGTATGGCTGGTTAGATTTTCTGGCCATCTAACATCAAGTACCAGCCATTGTGTACACAGCTGTGTGGTTCATGAACAATAAATTGTTTGCTCGGCCCAGCCATTAGTATATTATACATAGCAACTTTAAAAGATAAGAATAATTCAAGGGGCAGAGCACCTACAGTGGCTGTTCAGTAGAGAATAAGGAGAGAAAGCTAAGAAGAAACAGGCAAGGATCAGTCTGGCTCTTACGTTAATAAACTGTACATCCAGCTTCATGTTTTTGTCCATGTGCTGCAATAAATCTACATGGAAGGTCTCTGCCTATTCAAAAAAGAAGGCATTGTCAGAAATCATGTCTTACTCATCTAGCGTACCTGGGCATTAAATGGGGATGAGGTCAACATTCAGTAGGTAGAGGACATACTTTATCTATTACATCAGTATCTATTAAGTAAGTATCTCTTACATCAGGCACCTCCAGCTCCTTAATTAGAGCCATATAGCAAGCATCTTTCTGCCTAACATCCAGAGGACCCACTATTAATCAAGACATAGAACAGCAGCAACTCAGGGACCACATTTGCAATTATGATCAAATAGCATATGTAGTGCACTGAAAATCAGTTGATGACTAATGCTGCTTACAAAAATCAGCAGTGTTGCATGTGAATGTTCTGGATTTTTTGAGCAATCATCTCCTGAATTGCCTGCAGTCTCCCTGGTTTCCTACTTTCCAGTTAAATTCCAAGGGAAGGTATGGCGAAAGGGGGATTCTCATGGGCCTTTTTCAGTAATAGTGCTGCTGTTACAACTCTATTGTTGGAGTTTTTTTTTCTTCACTTAGAAAAATATGGAGAAATCATTTGCCCAATGTTTCTTGTGCGTTTCAGTAGAGTATGTTGACTTGCAAGGAAGTGTCTAAATTAGAGATACTACCTTGCATTTAAAAAAAACCCAAAGGTAAAGGTTTCCCCTGTCCAGTTATGTCCAATTTTAAGGGGCAGTGCTCATCTCCTTTTTTTAGCCAAGGGAACCAGCATTATCTGAAGACATTCCCATGAACATATAGTCAGCATGACTATATGGCAAGGGGCCCGAAGTGCTGTTACCTACGCACCGAAGCAGTACCTATTTACCTACTCACATTTGCATGCTTTCAAACTGTTAGTTGGGCAGGAACTGGGGCAAGAATAGGAGCTCACCCCATCATGTGATACTTGGGTCTTGAATTGCCAACGTTCTAGTCAACAAGCCCAGCATCTTAACCTCTCCTCCACTACCTAGCATAAAATAATGTAAAACTGTACGCCGTGATCAAAACATGTCAAACCTAACTAGAAGGGAAAAAATACATGTAGCATGAGTATTACTAGGACTGATAACTCAGGTGATACCTTATCTTACCAAAATAGCAACAGGTGAAAACTTTGTTTGGCCAATGCCATGATGGTGGGCCACTGTTTTTGGGTTCACCTAATGATGACTAAGCATACGGAACTTACAATATAAAAGAAATAACTGGCAAACAGTTATTGTAATGAATGAAATGAGAGAAAAATATTTGTAATTGTATTTGTAAAATTGAGAAAACAGGCAAAGAAAATGCAGAGTGATTTTGATGGAAATGATTTAAAAAAATATTACAGAAATGGGTAAAAAGGATTAAACAAGGAGCCTTCAACAAAGGGAATGGAATTCAGAATAGCAATGATGAAATTATTTGGAATAAAACTGAAGTGAGGGAACATTCAGTAGTTCAACACTGAGTGATAAGTAATATAAGGATGTGTGCATTTTCCTTGGTTATTGAATGTATTTATGAACAAATGAGTAAGGACTACTTGCAGGGATGTTAGAGGTATATTAGATGGAAACATGTGTATGAGTGAACTGTATTGTATTCAGGCAACAACACGTTGTTGGCTGAGAATCTCTACATAACCATGTTCAAAACGTTGTGCAAATTAAAAAGCATAATTGTATTTAGTTAGGAATGTAAAGTATTTATTTTCCACCCTTCATCATGAAAGGCTGCTAGACTGGCTTATAAAATACGGTAATAAAAAAGAAGATAAGATTCAACCTTTCAAACATGATATTATTTCCTCTTTTTTAATTGTATGTGTAAATTATCAACCTTTGGCCATTAATCATGCTAGATGGGGATTAAGTGATCTGAAATGCAATATATCTAGAGGTAACTAGGTTGAGAATACAGTATATAGGACACACATATATGACCAGACTATAATAGAGATACCTTATGTAACTGTATACTTCTGCACATTCCCCCCCCCCCACCCATACCTTCCTATAAATAAAATCTGAGTAGCAAGCAACTGAAAGAAAATAAACTCTCTTTTCAGTAATTATTTAGGACAACAGAAAAATACATTAAAATGGTCACAACGTAATTGACAGAACTTTTAGTCATAGTTCTCCTGACAAAGTAGCAATGGTAGCATATTAATAGCAGTTTCTCCAAGATACTTACAACTATTTCCAAGTTGCGGTTCAGATGCATTTGGGTTTCAGACATCTGTATCAAAATTTCACCTTTAGGAGGTAAAGAAAAATCATTTAATTATTTTTCTACTGGCACTGGCTGGGAATTCTAAAAGATGTAGCACCTCCAAATACATCCAATGTTACTGTTCATCAAGAATTGTGATTTATTGAGCATGTGGGGGGAGGAAATTGGAAAAATGGTTATTCCAGATGTCAAGGAATGATCATCAGAAAATTGTGATCTGTCTGTTTTGAAAAAAGCAATACTGTACTTTCCACTAATCAAAGGATGCAGAAATATGTATTACTATGGCTGCGATAGCTTACAATAATGTCTTGCATTATTTATAATAGTGAATTCATTGATAAACCAGTGATTAAAAAAAATATTTTTTCTTTTTTCTGTATTTTTGGTTTATCCTTTTAACTGTTTGAAAATTTTATCTGTTTTTAAGATTAAAGATTGTTTTGTTACAAAAAATAAAGATATTAAATAATAATTGTAAAAATAATTGTAAAAAGTATTACTGATCTGATCTGCATTATCTGGACCAGAGGTAAATTATCTAGATTTCATACTTCTCCAAATTTCATAACAGTAATAGCACTTAGACTTATATACCACTTCATAGTTATATAATGTGCTTTACAGCCCTCTCTAGGCAGTTTACAGAGCCAGCATATTTCCCCCAACAATCTGAGTCCTCATTTTACTGACCTGAGAAGGATGGAAGGCTGAGTCAACCCTGAGCAGGTCAGAATCAACTCCTGGCAGTGAGCAGTGAGTTAGCCTACAATACTACATTCTAACCACTGCGCCACCACAGCCCATGCAGTTCTCAACTCAACTCAAAATACACATCTGAATGCATTTGACCCCAGATTTAAAAAATAAATAAATAAATATATGAAAATTAAGAAATAAAATACATTGTTTATTTTGTCAGACAATTTTTTTTTTAAAAAAAAATAGGAACTTTAAGAACTTGCGCATAAAAGCAGAAGTGAGTCAGATGAGTATGTTTGAACTGGTCCAAAATAGGAAATAAACTGATCAGCGTATCTGGATATACAAGTCTGCATTCTAGCTCAGCTACACAGTCCTTGCATAGATTGAATTATATCAGTTTGAAACACGAGTGTACTGTGAAAAGGATGGATCAATATCTAGATATAAACTCACAAAATATTGTTGCATGCTGAACCCATGATTAGCAAGCATAGTATATTTAGCCCCCTCTATTACTACTACTTCTTCTTCTTCTTCTTCTTCTTCTTCTTCTTATTATTATTATTATTATTATTATTATTATTATTATTATTATTATTATTATTATTATTATTAATCTTTTATTCATTAGACATGAACCTCAGTCAACTGAACATTCAAATTGGCTGGCGCTGATGGTTGACACGGGTTGCTACCAGCATCCTAGGTGTCAACCAGGTACCTCCTTAAAATGTAAGATGTTCCAAGTAGTGCAGTTTTTTTGTAACATTGCTGGAGTTATTGCAGGAAGCTGCAGAGTCTTGATGTATTTTGCAAAGTTTTTGGACATAGTTCCCAGTGCCCTGATGACAATGGGTATCACTGTTACACGTTTCATTCATAATCGCGTAGTTTCGATGGCCAGGTCGCGATATTTCGTAATTTTTTCCAGTTCTTTTTCTTCAACTCTGGCATCTCCTGGTACAGCGATATCAATCAGCTGTACACTTCGGTTCTTTACAACTGCGATATCTGGCATGTTGTGTTCCAAATGGCGATCTGTCTGTATTCGAAAGTCCCACAAGATCTTCACCCTCTCATTCTCAACAACTTTTTCCACCCTATGTTCCCATGACTTTTGGGAAATAGGCAAGTCGTATTTTTTACACAATGCCCAGTGGATTAATTTAGCAACTCAGTCATGTCTAGCTTTGTAATCAGTTTGCACGATTTTGCTGCACTCCTAGATTAGATGTGAAACAGTTTCAACTTTGTCATTACTACTACTACTACTACTATTACTACTACTACTACTATTATTATATTACTATTATATCATCATCACCACCACCACCACCACCACCACCACCACCACCACCACCACCACCACCACCATCATCATCATCATCATCATCATCATCATCATCATCATTATTATTATTATTATTATTATTATTATTATTATTATTATACAATCATATATCACCTCATGGAAACCCATGTCTTACCCAGCATTTGTGAAGTAGAACTCTGAAGAGCTTGTTCTCCCATCTTCTGAATTGCTGTAAAATATACATCTGCTGCCTCAGATAATGCTGCAGGATTTTTTTTAAAAAAGAAGACAATTTGAATGTATTTTTGACTGAGAATTCTTTTTCTCTTTTTAAAATTTATTTTTCTCAGAATTGTTCTTCAATTATTAAAGCATTTAGGAAAAAATGCATTCCTTGGGTTTTCCTCTGCCAAAGGTCAGCCCCAAACTGCCTCTCTGCAAATCTTTTGAAGTTTGTATTGGGCAAAGAAAAGAATAGAACTGCTTGGAAATTCCATTAGTTTCATGTTATCCACAAGCAGAGCATGCAAAGCTGTGCATGTCTTATATACGTTACAGTATGCACAGTATTGATTGTGGTGCATCTGATTATACAGATGGATTTGTCTGCACAGGTATTCTTCTCTATCCATGAGTGGTGAGAAAGATCACCTCCCTCTCTCATGTATATATGAAATTCTACCAAACTAAATAGATACTGATATAGTAGTTGTTTGCTACGTTATGGCTGCCCAACTCCAAATGATTATGGGTAGCTTATTTTTATTTTAAAAGCAAGGAACCATAAGAAATAATGAAACAAATCATGCAAGTGAAAAAGAGAGGACATTATATAGCATCAAATAACTTAATGTGCAATCAGGTTTATGCCCAGGAGGACAGCCAGTTTTGCAAGGAATCTTGGAGTATTGGCAAGATGTGTGCGCTACATTGTCAGAAAGAGGGTTGCAGACTGTAAGCAAGTAGACATACAGCTACCTGTGTACTTACCATAAAAAGCCTGCAGATACTTGTTACCCAGATATAGCAGCTTCTCCAAAGCTGGATTAAACTGTTCCAGGATGCTCTGTTATCCATCCACATGAAGAAAAATAAAAACAATCTTACATACAACTTCTGGGTCTCTTTAAAGAAAACTAATGTAGGTCAGGCATTATTGCTTTCTATAGATCAGTGATGGCGAACCTTTTAGAGACCGAGTGCCCAAACTGCAACTCAAAACCCACTTATGCATCGTCGAGTGTCAGGTGGGTGTGGCCCATTGGCTGGGTGTGGCCCATTGGCTGGGCGTGGCTGCAGTGGTAACGGCAGACTGGGTGGGACTAAAAAGTTCAATCAATCAATTTCAACTTTGCAAGATCTTTTTTTTTCCCGCGAGAAGTTGAAATTGACTGATTGAACCTTTTTTTTTTTTTGCACATGGCAGTGGAGGCCTAAAGCGAAAAGGTTTTATAAAACCCAGCTGAAGGCCTAGGACTGGGGCGACGGCGCGCGTGCCCACAGAGAGGGCTCTGAGTGCCGCCTCTGACACCCATACCATAGGTTCGCCACCACTGCTATAGACAATCAATCGAGTGGGCCATCCATGAGGTTTAAAAGTATGTTAAGCTGCAAATATCTTAACCACAGTTACTGGCCTAAATTTGTAAGAAAATTGGTGCCAGACAACATAAGGTGGTGCTATGTTGGGATCCAATGTTACCAGTCAGCCAAATGAGGGTATATACAACACTTTCTTCCCTCTCCCCCCCCCCCCCCCCCCGAGTTACAGTTGCAAGAAAAAGTATGTGAACCCCTTGGGATAACGCAGAGTTTTGCATGAATTGGTCATAAAATGTGCTCTGAACGTCATCTAAGTCACAACAATAGAAAAACACAGTCTGCTGAAAATAATAATACACAAACATTACATGTTGCCATGGTTTAATTGAACATAACATGTAAACATTCACAGTGCAGGGA